ATGATGCCAGAACCAACAGAACGAAACACATGATTTCATATGATAGTCCACCAACGAGCAGAACCACGCACATGAATTCATGTGTCCTATGCACAACAGAACAATGCAATCACATGACATTCATGTGAACACAACAAAGCATTCACATGATATTCATGTGACAAGGGATTTGTTCACATGATGGTCACATGAACCACAAAAACAACACATGATGATCATGTGAACAAAAACGCCAACACATGAACATCATGTGACAAAACCGCCCATTCACATGAATAACATATGAACCCAGGAGAGCAAACATATGAATTCATGTGTCATAATGTAAAAGAACCAAAGCCAACATGTGAATTCATGTGTCATAATGTAAAAGAACCAAAGCCAACATGTGAATTCATGTGTCTTAACTAAAAGCAGACCACACGCACACATGAATTCATGTGTTGTCCTGTGCCAAACAACAAAACGACACATGAATTCATATGTTGTCCTGTGCCAAACAACAAAACGACACATGAATTCATATGTTGTCCTGTGCCAAACAACAAAACGACACATGAATTCATATGTTGTCCTGTGCCAAACAACAAAACGACACATGAATTCATGTGTGGTCCTGTGTCAAACAACAGAACAACACATGAACTCATGTGTTATCCTGTGCCAAACAACAGAACAACCCATGAATCCATGTGTCATCCTGTGCCAGGCAACAGAACACCACATGAATTCATGTGTCGTCCTGTGACCACACCCACACACAATTATACTTAAGTGCATATCCCCCACACACATACATACATACATACATACATACATACATACATACATACATACGCACATACACACACACATACATACATATCTGCACACACACACACACACACAACATAACACAAAGGATCCACACACATGAAACCACCCTCCCATCCAACACCACACCCACCCCAGCCACCCACCCACGCAGCCTCCAACCGGTAACCACCAACCACCCACATGCACCTTTGCCACCCCACCGCCCAAGCACCCAACCACCGAAGCAGAAAACCACCCAACCCAAACCCAAACCCAACCGCCCAACCCCAACCACCCACCCCCCAGCCATTCAACCGCCCAGCCACCCAACCACCCAACCCTAACCAACCCCCCAACCACCCCCAAAAGCTGGGGCCGCCAGCACCCCTCCCCCCACCCTAGCTTTACTCACTTTTAATGCAGAGACGAAGCCCCAGTGCTGGAGCAACATTGGTTTCTAAACTGTCAGACCCAAACCTATATATACACCTGGAACCCTCAATTACTTCTAAAAAGCGGAAACCCTGAAACCGACCCCCCCTTCAAAAACAATATATATATATATATATGTGCATATAGATATAGGTATGTATATGTATCTATATGTATATATATATATACACATGTATGTATTTGTTTATTTATAAGCTCTAAACACCTTACACGATACACTTCGTGAAGACGTATTGTCTGGACAGACAAGATTAGAATGCGATTCCATGTCTGGACAGATACGGTCGCTAGAGATTGAGTGTGTCTGGACAGACAAGGAACTTTTCACGAGATTCATTAATGTCTGGACAGACAAGGAACAAGAGCAGACTGGAATCATAGTCTTTTTCATAGGAGAGATTTGTCTCAAAGAGATCGATATTCGAATAGGAGCATAGCTTGAGAGATCGAGCCATGAAGAAGCCTGCAGCAACCGTGAAGGCGGTCGGGAAAGTCGCAAAAACCCTCTTGAAGAAGCCCGCGACGAAGCCTGGCCAGAACTTGAAGCCGGGCAAGAAGGTCGAGGGGGAGGTTGTCGACAAGGAGGCAAAGCACGACAAGCAGCCGGAGAAGAAGAACAAGAAGCAGTCCACGAAGGAGCAGCCCAGCAAGAAGGACGAGAAGAAGAAGAACGACAAAGAGAAGAAGAACGAGAAGCAGCCCAAGAAGAAGAACGACAAGGAGAAGAACGACGAGCACGAGGACGACGAGCACGAGAACGACGAGCACGAGAACGACGAGGAGCAGGAGGACGACGAGGAAGGCCAAGAGGTCGATCCCGGAGAGATGGCTTTGGTGCCAGTCCAGAAACAGCCCCTGAGCTTGAAGAACATCAAGACTCACGCCGAGCTCTTGGAGGTGAAGGGCTGGTCGGGCAAGGACGTCTGGAACGCCTTTAAGATGTTGCCCTCGGGTGAACAACAGATGGTCTGGAAACTCTTTGAGAAAGGACGGCAAAAGGAGGGATGTGATGCATCCTACCGAGACCAGACAGCCGGTGCCGGTGGCAACAAGAGAAAGCAAGACATGTTGACGAGCTGGCTTCTTGATGAAGGGAAGTGCAGGGATTATTATCAGAAAGCATGCCTGCAGCTGACGAAGATGAGCTCGCGGCAGCTGAAGGTGTCTTGGGAGCCCTGGAAGGCCATGACGAATCGCTACGGCAAGACGGAGGCCTTAGCCCGCTTGAAAGCCGGAACCATGAAATGGAGAAGGTCGAAGACAGACAGCAACTTTTTGGAGTTCGCCAATGTGGTCGACAAGGAAGCCGAAGGCTTTGTGAAGCAAAAGAGCTGCTCAGTGGAAGGCCCCGACAAGAAGGTCAAGAAGGAGAGAGCTGCTGCCTTGGACAAGCTCACCTTCGATGAGCTCGAGGACATGGAGATGGTGAAGGGCATGAAAATCGACGCCGACTTGAAGACTGTCATCACGAGGAATGCTGGCGGTGTTTCCGAAGACTCGAGCTCCTCCGAGAAGGATGACAGCAGCGACAGCAGTGACAAGAAGAAGTCGAAGAAGAAAAAGAGCAAGGCGACATCGTCGAAGAAGACTTCCAATGCTTCGAAGACGAAGAGCATGGATGATTGGGAAAAGTTGTCGCAGGTTGACGACACAGACAACAAAAGTGAGTTCAACAAAAAGTTGACCCTCTTCAAGTCCGAGCTGCAGAAGGAAGAGACCTTCTTCCAGATGCTGCTTTTGGAGTCTAAGCTCAAGAAGGACGAGAGGAAGAACGTCCAGCAGAACCTGGATGATCTGACGAAGACCTTGAAACAGGTGGGGGCGAGCATCGACAAGATCGGCAGCAAGGAAGCTGTGAAGAAGAGCCTCCTGATGGCTTTGACGACGTTGAAGGCTTCGAAGACCCTGAAGAAGAACTTGGCAGGCAAGAAGACCCAGACCCAGGACGAGAAGCTCAAGCGAAAGAAGGGTGAAACAAGTGAAGAGAGCTGAGCCCGCTGAGCCCTTTCGATGTGAGATCAATCGATTTTAACATAGTTTTCGGAACGGCTGAGGCAGACTGAAAATCGATCAGTCCTAGACCGAAGCCTGACAAACCTTAGAGCCGGCTGAGGCAGACTGAAACTTGATCAGTCTTAGACCGAAGCCTGAAAAACCTTCGAGCCGCTCTCGCTTCTAAGAAGACCGAGGCTCGAGTCGTGAAAAAAGCCTGCAGCAGGTTTGTACATATGCACTAGCTGAAGATTCCCATAGCATCAATGCCTGGACAGGCAGAATTTCGATCAAAATTGGCCCTTCCAAGCCTTAATGCCTGGACAGGCAGTACGTCGATCGGCACTTGCTGCACTTCCAAGCATTAATGCCTGGACAGGCAGAATTTCGATCAAAATTTGCCCTTCCAAGCCTTAATGCCTGGGCAGGCAGAATTTCGACCAAAATTGGCCCTTCCAAGCCTTAATGCCTGGACAGGCAGTATGTCGATCGGCAGTTGCTGCACTTCCACGCATTAATGCCTGGACCGGCAGAATATATTAATTGAATCCAGTGCTGCAGCCATAGAAGTTCGAGCAGTTTGGAAATGTAGATTCACCTAAAGAGGTGAAATGTGAGAGACGCCATGGCGAAAAAGAGAAAACATAGCCTTGATGAAGCCCCTTCGCCTCTGAAACTCTTGTTGCTGGAAGAGTTCGCTTTTGGGCGACTTTCGGCTTTGAAAGTGCAGAAAATGGCTGCAGCAGCAGCAGCGAGCTGCAAAGAACCCAGCTCAGACCTGCTGAGTTTGGCGATGCTGGGAGGACAAGGCAGCAGTGCTCAGAACTGCCACAGAGACTTGATGAAGATGCTGAGCTCTGGCAGAGCGCCAGAGAGCACTTTGATCTACACCCCTGTGTCCTTGAGAGACAAGAAAACTGGTGGTGCCGTGGTGGAGCCGAAGCAGGTGCCTCTGTTTCTTCCCCACGAGTGGTTCGATGTGCTGGAGAAGAACGAGTTGCTCCAGATGTTCACTGCAACTTGGTGAGTACTTTGAACTTTGAGTTTTGTGTTTTCAAGGAATTATATAAGGATAAAGCTTAACTTTTTAGTGAGTACTTTGAACTTTGAGTTTTTTGTGTTTTCAAGGAATTATAAAAGGATAAACTTTTTACGTGGGTATATTGGAGAAGTATGAGGCGACAGAGAAAGAGATCCGAAAGTTTTGGCAATGCCAAGACTTTGAGACAAATCCACAACTCTTGAGAAGCAGAGACTACTGGCGAAGCTTCAATGTCATGGAAAAACTACCGGTTCCCTTGATCCTTCACGGCGATCACGCTTCTTTCAGCGAGACAGATTCGCTCCTGATAGTAAGCATACGATGCATGATAACCAAGAGATCGATTAAGACCTCGGAATTGTTGATTGCTTCGTTGCCGAAATCAGCGAATGCCGGGTCCTGGACAGCTTTGTGGGAAAAAATCTCAGAGAGTTTGACACGACTGGCCTCGAGTCACAAAGCTGTGGTCATGGCTTTGGTCGGAGACCTGGAGTTCTTTGCATAAGAGTTCGGATGGCCCACGGCGAACAGCAACGAATTGTGTCCATACTGCAAATGTGATAATAGATTCAAAGATGCAGATGCAGTCGCCCCGTACAACGACTTTAGAGCTGGTGCTGAGTGGAGAAGGCAGCCGAGAGAACCAAGAGAAAATGAACACCCTTTGTTCAAAGTTCCTGGGATAAATTTTTGGTCCCCGAAACTCGATGTGTTGCACATGTTAGACCTGGGAGTCAGTTCGCATGTTTATGGAAACTTGATCAACGACATCTTGGAGGACCACCTGCCTGGGAACTTCGGTGCATCCCTTGGAGCTTTGAATGCAAGAATCGTGGAGCTGTACGAGAGTCGATCGATCCCAGCGAATGCCAGAATCCCGAAGCTGAGCAAAGGGAACATTCATGGTCAGACTGGGTACCCGTGCCTGAGCCATGTGAAAGGGCGACGAATACGCCAGTTCTCGAGTGTGGCTGTGGATCTGGCAAACTTGTACAAGCACACAGACGCAGGAAAACATCGTTTTGAAGCAGTGAAAGCCCTGGACGAGATTTACGAGCTGTGTGACAACCAGAAGTATAAGTGTGACAGAAGGGAGCAGCTTGCATGCATGTGAAATAATATGAACTTTGAGCTTTTTGGTTTTCCCGTAAAAGTATAAGGCAGATTGTTCGTTTTCATATTGGATATCAGGCACAGAAAGATGGAGAAGGAGATTGACAAACTGCTCCTGCACTACACTTTCTTGAGCAGAGATGCTTTCGACAGAGGAAAGAAGAGGTACAGTGTCACCCAGAAGTTCCACCTGACGGCACATTTTCATCTTCAGTGTCAATTTATGACACCAAGACTTGCTTGGACCTATGGTCCTGAGAGTTTCATGTCGGTTTGCAAGAAGATCGCTGCCTCATGTGATAGAGCAACTCCAAGCTACCAGATTCCACTGAAGATTGCTGGAAAATTCGCATTAGCTTACGAGCTCCTGCTACGAGGATGGCTGAATCTGGATGAAGATGAGGAGTGAGGAAAATAATTCTGCTTGTCAGGGTTTAATAATGTCTGGACAGACAAGTCGGATGAAGATGAGGAGTGAGGGAAATAATTTTGCTTGTCAGGGTTGAATAATGTCTGGACAGACAAGTCGGATGAAGATGAGGAGTGAGGGAAATAATTTTGCTTGTCAGGGTTGAATAATGTCTGGACAGACAAGTCGTGCATGGTGCATCTTGTGTTCCAGCCTCGTCAGGGCTGAATAATGTCTGGACAGACAGGTCGTGTGTGTTCTAGCCGCATGTCAGGGCTGACTAATGTCTGGACAGACAGGTCGTGCATGGTGCATCTTCTGTTTTAGCCACCCAGACCATCAAGGGTCCAGACTCTGGAATCTAAACCCTATGTTAACCCTTATATATATATATACTTTAAAGAAAAAGGTCTGTCCAGACCCAGACTCTTTAAACCCTATGAAACCCTAAACCCTAAAGCAAAAAATTATCCCGAATCTGTCCAGACTCTTTAAACCCTAAAAACCCTAAAACAAAAGGTCTGTCCAGACCAGGCATCAAGAATCTGTCCAGACTCTCTTAACCCTATGAAACCCTAAAACAAAAGGTCTGTCCAGACCAGGCATCAAGAATCTGTCCAGACTCTCTAAACCCTATGAAACCCTAAAAAAAAAAGGTCTGTCCAGACCAGGTATCAAGAATCTGTCCAGACTCTCTAAACCCGGAAGAAACCCTAAAACTAAAAAGGTCTATCCAGACCAGGTATCAAGAATCTGTCCAGACTCTTTAATAAACTTTAATATACACCCTACACATAATAACCTAGATACGAAGCACCAAACCCCAAACCCAGAACTCCTAAACCCCAAACTCTTTTAATTTTAGGCCCTAACCCTATATGTATAAACGCAAGTAACCGGAAACCCTGAACCGCAAGCCCCCGGCATGAACCCTAAAGCCCACACCCCTACACCCATATAGGCCCTAAATTCTATGCATATCTATATATACAGATATATATATATATATATATATATATATACATAGATAGATATGTATATATGTATATGTAACCTTATATAAACTTCAAACCCTTAAACCCCAAATTATAGGCTCTAATCCCGCCAGCCCATAATTTTCGGACCGCCAAACCCCGGCCTAAACCCTATAAATCTCGAACCCGGAACCACGAAAGTCAAAACCTGCAGCCATCGAGCTTGACCCTGAAATAAGATATGATATCATATATATATATATATGTATATGTATATGTATATGTGTATATATATATATATAGACACACACACACATATATATATATATATATATACCATATCGGTATGTATGTACATACATACCTATATGCATACATACATAGATGCATATATACATATATACATATATACATATATGCATATATATATATATATATATACATATACATATATACATACCTATATATATACACACACATACATATATACATACATATATATACACACATATACATCTATACATATATACATATATACATATATATATATATACATATATACATATATACATATATACATATATACATATCATACATATCATACATATCATACATATCATACATATCATACATATCATACATATCATATATATATATATATATATATATATGTAATTGAACTTCGCTCGATTCCTCGATTGATTTTACAAATCCGCCGCTCGATTCTTCGCTCGATTCCTCGATTGATTTTATATTGAACCTCGCTCGATTCCTCGATTGATTTTATACTCCCATGTGCTTCTGTATCCTCGCTTGATTTTATCTATCGAACGCTTGAAAAAAAATATTTTTCAATCGGCGCTTGAAAAAATCAATCTCGCTCGAAAAAAATCAATCTGAGAGCCTATGGGTGTGTGTGTGTGTGTGTGTGTGTGTGTGTGTGTGTGTGTGTGTGTGTGTGTGTGTGTGTGTGTGTGTGTGTGTGTGTGTGTGTGTGTGTGTGTGTGTGTGTGTGTGTGTGTGTGTGTGTGTTTCACTTAAGGTTTGCAATCACAGGTCCAGTGTAGGGTTGGGTTGTGTGTGTGTGCGTGTTTTTCGCTCAGAGATTCACTTGGAGGTGCAGTCAGTGTAGGGTTGGGTTGTGTGTGTGTGCGCGTGTTTCATTCAGAGATTCACTTGGAGGTGCAGTGTAGGGTTGGGCCGTGTGTGCGTGCACGTGTTTCACTCAGGGATTCACTTGGAGGTGTAGGGCAGGGTTGGGTTGTGTGTGTGCGCGCGCGTGCGTCTGTGTGTGTGTTTCAGATTCACTTGGAGGTGCAGTATAGGGTTGGGTTGCAGTTGTGTGTGTGTGTGCGCGGGTTTCACTCAGGGATTCACTTGGAGGTGCAGTGTACGGTTGGGTTGAGGTCGAGTGCAGGCATATCTTGCTTCAGTATTCGGAACTGCTGAGTCCGAGTGAGGATCAGGACGTTATGACGCTCCCTCGTCCAGCAGAAAAAGCGGCCACAAGATCGATGAAGCATTGGCCGTCCATGGCACCACATGCACTATGAACACGGCAGGTTGCAACCTGGGCGAAGGAAGAAGGGATTACGGCATGTGGCGCTGCATGATGCATTCGGCCTGCATGCGGTTTTTGCCCACTGACTGTGATAGCGCTGCATGATGTCTGTCCGATGTAATGTCCCTGCGAGATCGAGACGTATCATGCAGTGCATTGCGTTGCAATCTGGTTGTTTGATCTTCACTTGCACATGCATTCGGCCTGCATGCGGTCTTTGCCCACTGTGATAGCGCTGCATGATGTCTGTCCGAAGTACTGGTTTCAATGTCCCTGCGAGATGGAGACGTATCATGTAGTGCATTGCGTTGCAATCTGGTTGTTTTATCTTCACTTGCACATGCATTCGGCCTGCATGCGGTCTTTGCCCATTGTGATAGAGCGGCCATTCCATATCACACAATGCGACGGTCCGTTTTGCATGCAGCGAGTGCAGCGGTAAATAAGCATGAATGCCACGGCTTCTGTACGACGTGCTACTGCTGCCTGAAAGCACCTTGAACGGAGCATGCTTTGAATTCACGAAATTCCGGTCTTCGCATCTGAGGCGTGAACTCCCGAGCCCGAACAAATCTAGATCTTCCGTGTTGTCCAACTGACTGTGCCCTCCCATTCTGCCTTGACCCCGACATGGTTCCAACCCACAGGCTTGCGAGACAGATGAGCCGATCAGGGAGAATTTGTCCGAGGAGGAGTACGCAGCAGCAGCGGCAGCTGCGCCGGGTGACGCGGCACCGGATGATGCCCGAGATGCTGCCTGATCTTGGAGTCCGACATCTCAGTCCGAGGCGGCGTGGAATCTGGACGTGATCCTTAGATCGTCTGAGGTGCCGGTTTGGTGCTGTGTGATCTCAGTCCGAGGCATGCACGCTGGACGTGATCTCTTTTATAAATTAAATTGCTGGCAGGCTGCTACAACAGCGTCTTGTCCATGCTGATAATGTTTTTGCAAAGGACAAAGGTTGTCTAGCGAAGCCAAGCAGTTTTTGCAATACTGTTTGTAATCTGCAGAATCAGAAGTGTGAAAGTGCCGCTGTATTATTGCTGAAGCCCAAGGCTTTAGGAGGGGCCTCCTGGAGGAGGAGGCTTTAACAGCAGCACCTGTCCGAGGGAGCGCGTCTAGGCCATGAACAAACTCTCCGCGGTACAGCAAGCTGTGGACTTCTTGAAGCGGAGGAAGAGCCAGGTGCGCTCTTGGCCCGAGGGGTTTACGTGTGCCATGGCTCAGAAAGCTTCCTGGCTTTGAAGGCGCTTTTCAGAGCTGTGACAGAGAGAACTTCCTGAATAACTCGAGGTTGACACCTTCTACGTTGCGTCCGAAGTCCAGCTGAGGGAGTCTGCCAAGCTCGTTTTGACAGAGGACCGCTCTAAGGGCTTGTCTTGCTTCGGCGCTGCCAGGATCAGAAGTCAGTCTGCTCGAGCATCGTGTTAGGAGTGTGGCGGTGCTCTGGACATCACGAGCCTCAAAGCAGGGCTGAACACGAGGACGCGTACAAGACTGCGTCCGAGGCAGCGAACTCTTTGCCGTTTAGCTTGGGTGCGAGGCTTTCAAGGCAGGGGGGAGGGTAATGAGGTATAGCGGTCACTGCTTTGAAAAGCATTTTTCCGAAGCCCCTGAGATACAAGGCTGGGAATGGCAAGGAAGCACGGCAGGTGGTGCGAATCTTGCATAGAGTGAGTCCTTGAAACCGCTCTGCCAGGTCCGAACGAGCGGGTTCCTGCACAAGCGTGTTGTCCGAGAAGATCCGATCCTGAAGGAGGAGAAGCAGAACCCGAGGCCAAGACAGCGTTTGAGAATCGCACAACTTTATTCAGCATTCGATCAGTCATGTCGATCTGTCACCGAATGCGAATTTCCACAGTTGTCAATGCCTGAGGCTGTGAGTCTCCTGGGTGAGCAGCGTTTTCGTGTGGACTAGTTGTGGACGTGGCGGCATGTCAACACAGGCCCACCCCAGTGCTTTCTGGTGGAGCTGGGTCGTCTGCGAGGCGATGGAGCTCGCTTGTCTTACAGATTCCACGATTCAGAATCAGAAGAGTGAGATCCTGTGGCTGTTTGCCAGGTGTGCCGGATCTGCTCACCATCGAGATGAAACAGTGCGGGGTGCCTCGCAACGGCATGGTGAGCTTGGCAACGCCATTAGCCTAAATGTAATGGAACGTCTTCTCTGCCGGGTCCTACCAGCCTGTGGCCTTTCCGTGCCACTGGCAGACTTTTGGTCCGAGCTCGGACGAGACGTTCGCTCCAAGAAGGCTTGGCAGAAGATCACCCGCCGCAGGGTTCCATTGCGGAAATAGCTCAGACTCAGCATTGTGGAGAGTCGTTTGATTCAGACTGTGATTGTATCAGTGCCCGAACAGGCGCCGGCTACTAACAGAAGTGGAGTCTGACCCGGGACAGCATACAGAGCATGCGTCAAAAGATGTCGAGGGGAGATGCTTTCTGTCCACGGCTGCCTTAGTTG